CATATTCGGTGTGAAATATCTTCCGCCCCCCAGCGGAGCGCTTCGGCGCCTCTGCGAAGCAAAGCGCGGCATTCAAAAACAACAACCAAAATTGCCGTCGCTTCCCTGCCCTGCAATGGCTGGAGCAGAAGGAGAGAGAGAGAGAGAGATTTTAGTCTCATTGGATCAGAGGAATGGCAGTGGAGCGGGCTTATGGCGAGTAGGCTCGCGCTCTATCAATTACACTTGCCAGGTCTCTCTTCCGTTTGGACATTATTTACTCCGTCTCTCTCTCTCTCTCTCGGCGCACACGTCGCCACCCTACTAGTTTCCGTCACAGCATATGCTGCGGCCTTTCAGTCCGGAACGGGGCTCCCCTTCGCCTTGCTGTCTGCCCAACTTAGCGGACTTGCGTTGGCTGATCACCCCGTCTTCGCGTCTGTGCTGGCCTTCAATGCAGCGCCCAACCGTCTCTTGACCGAGATTCATTGCACTATTCCACGCGCAAACGGCTACCCTAAATGTGCATAGACAACGCTCATGGTTCAACACGACCAGGGCGCAGTCTGGGAGCCGAGTATACTAAAAAGAGAGTTTAGCAGCCAAAACTCGTCAAAGCACACGTTGGGTTACCCCATCACCTAACAACGATGATGGCGGTTCCCACCCGTGAAATACACAACCTAACCAATATTGGGCGACGATGGCGCTCATGAGCCCACGTCCCCACAAACAGTAAGAGAAAGAGAGAGAGGAGGAGATGGGCCAATGTGCGGTCCCTCGCCCAATGTCTTATGCCTCGCTGGGGCAAAGAGAAGAGAAGAGAAGAGGAGCGGATAAGGGAGGAGATTGGCCAACGTGCGGTCCCTCGCCCAATGTCGGCTGCCTCGCTGGAGCTGGGTAAAGAGGAGAGGAGCGGATAAGGGAGGAGATTGGCACACACGGTGGCGCTGCCGGCGCCGAGGATAGCAAGAGAAGGTGCAGTTTGATCTGATCATCTGGTTTGCTATTTCTCTAAGGCCAACGTGCGGTCCCTCGCCCAATGTCGGCTGCCTCGCTGGGGCAAAGAGAAGAGGAGAGGATAAGGGAGGAGATTGGCACACACGGTGGCGCTGCCGGCGCCGAGGATAGCGAGAGAAGGTGCAGTTTGATCTGATCATCTGGTTTGCTATTTCTCTAAGGCCAACGTGCGGTCCCTCGCCCAATGTCTTCTGCCTCGCTGGGGCAAAGAGAAGAGGAGCGGATAAGGGAGGAGATTCGCCAACGTGCGGTCCCTCGCCCAATGTCGGCTGCCTCGCTGGAGCTGGGGCAAAGAGGAGCGGATAAGGGAGGAGATTGGCACACACGGTGGCGCTGCCGGCGCCGAGGATAGCAAGAGAAGGTGCAGTTAGATCTGATCATCTGGTTTGCTATTTCTCTAAGGCCAACGTGCGGTCCCTCGCCCAATGTCTTCTGCCTCTCTCTCAATCTCACTATTTTGGCCGCCGTGATAGGCGCCGCCAACAGCAGCAGCTACCTGGTTGATCCTGCCAGTAGTCATATGCTTGTCTCAAAGATTAAGCCATGCATGTGTAAGTACAAGCCGATTTAAGGCGAAACCGCGAATGGCTCATTAAATCAGCTATGTTTCATTGGATCTGTAAACCCACTTACTTGGATAACTGTGGCAATTCTAGAGCTAATACATGCAATTGGTCTCTGACCGCAAGGGAAGAGCGCTTTTATTAGTTCAAAACTGGTCGGGCCCCGGTCCGTAACCCACCTGTGGTGAATCTGAATAACTTCGGGCTGAGCGCACGGTCTCCGCACCGGCGCCGCTTCTTTCAAGTGTCTGCCTTATCAGCTTTCGATTGTAGGTTATGCGCCTACAATGGCTATAACGGGTAACGGGGAATCAGGGTTCGATTCCGGAGAGGGAGCCTGAGAAACGGCTACCACATCTAAGGAAGGCAGCAGGCACGCAAATTACCCACTCCCGGCACGGGGAGGTAGTGACGAAAAATAACGATGTGAGTCTCATCCGAGGCCTCGCAATCGGAATGAGTACACTTTAAATCCTTTAACGAGTATCCATTGGAGGGCAAGTCTGGTGCCAGCAGCCGCGGTAATTCCAGCTCCAATAGCGTATATTAAAGTTGCGGTTAAAAAGCTCGTAGTTGATCTCAGTTCCGACTGACGGTGCACCGCCCGGTGTTTACTGTCACGCCCGAACAGCCGCCCGCCGCTCGCACGGGATGCTCTTTGTCGAGTGTCCCGAGTGGCCGGAGAGTTTACTTTGAAAAAATTAGAGTGCTCAGAGCAGGCTATTTGAATGGCCCGAATGGTGATGCATGGAATAATGGAATAGGACCTCGGTTCTATTTTGTTGGTTTTCGGAACCAGAGGTAATGACTAATCGGAACAGGCGGGGCATTGTATTGACGCTAGAGGTGAAATTTTGGACCGTCGCAAGACGAACTACTGCGAAAGCATTTGCCAAGGATGTTTTCATTAATCAAGAACGAAAGTTAGAGGTTCGAAGGCGATCAGATACCGCCCTAGTTCTAACCATAAACGATGCCAACTAGCGATCCGCCGGCGTTATTCCCATGACCCGGCGGGCAGCTTCCGGGAAACCAAAGTCTTTGGGTTCCGGGGAAGTATGGTTGCAAAGCTGAAACTTAAAGGAATTGACGGAAGGGCACCACCAGGAGTGGAGCCTGCGGCTTAATTTGACTCAACACGGGAAACCTCACCAGGCCCAGACACCGGAAGGATTGACAGATTGAGAGCTCTTTCTCGATTCGGTGGGTGGTGGTGCATGGCCGTTCTTAGTTGGTGGAGCGATTTGTCTGGTTAATTCCGATAACGAACGAGACTCTGGCCTACTAAGTAGTCGACGGATCTCCAGAAAATGGTGTCCAGTTCGCAACTTCTTCTTAGAGGGATAAGCGGCAATTCTAGCCGCACGAGATTGAGCAATAACAGGTCTGTGATGCCCTTAGATGTTCTGGGCACGCGCGCTACACTGAAGGGATCAACGAGTTTTCCTCCGAGAGGAGCGGGTAACCCGTTCAAAGCCTTTCTTGATAGGGATTGGGGCTTGCAATTGTTTCCCATGAACGAGGAATTCCCAGTAAGTGCAAGTCATCAGCTTGCGCTGACTACGTCCCTGCCCTTTGTACACACCGCCCGTCGCTACTACCGATTGAATGATTTAGTGAGGCCTTCGGACTGGCGCTCTTGGATTGTCGGCCCCGTTGCCCGCGAGGGTTTTCTGGGGTCGTCGCCTCGAGCTGACGGAAAGATGTCCAAACTTGATCATTTAGAGGAAGTAAAAGTCGTAACAAGGTTTCCGTAGGTGAACCTGCGGAAGGATCATTAACAGAGAGAAAGAGAACGGGGCGCTCTTAAAACTACTACTACTCTCCTGATTTGGGCGGTCTCGGGCTCTGCTCTGGCAACTCCAGCAGCGAAAGAGGACAATCCCGGCCCCCGCACCAAAAATAGGTACCACCACGCTGTAGGTGGACCACACTCGGGCGAGAGCGCGAAGACCGGAGGAGGAGGACGGACGGGGCTTTGGACGGCTGCCCGTCCGTTCCTTACTACCGGCGAATAAGCCTCTTGACCCAAAAAGAGTGAAATTCAAGTGTCAAAAAACAACAACAAGCCGTCCGGCCAAACCCAAACCACAAACTTGGGCTATGTCTGTCAAACCCTTTCATTGAGACTCGACCTGTGATGGTTAGTCGCAAAAAGACCAAATGGCAAATACACAACTCTTAACGGGGGATCACTCGGCTCGTGGGTCGATGAAGACCGCAGCAAACTGCGTGTCGGTATGTGAATCGCAAGAATACCAGATACATCGACAA